TTCTTTTGATGTTAGCAGTGGAATCAGTGTATCACCATCCTCGATAATAGTCTCCAGTAGAACTTCAGAGCAAAGGACAGTTAAACTGTCATCAGCAGAAAAGGCAGTTTTGCTATCACCTTCGTTGGAAGCATCCTCGCCTACTTTGAGTGTGAGCAGAGAAAGCAGCAGTTCGTCATATTTAACGGTTAGTTCTAGTGTGTCATCGGACCACAGAACGGTCAAACTAACTTCAGGGAGATCAGAGTCTCTTTCACCCTCATTGGTTGTGCTCTCGTCCTCTGTGTCTGGTAGCAGAGACAGCAGCAGATCCTTGTTATCAACAATAAAGTCCAGCGTGGTATCAGAACAAAGCTCATTGAGAGGATCTTCGGAAAGTTCACTGGCAGTATTAGAATCGTCAGTTGTGTTATTGTCGACTGTTGGTGTTAGCAGAGAGAGCAGCAGGAGATCGTCAGCAGCAGGTTTAGTCTCCAGTATGGGATCAAAGGAAAGGACCGGTGGGCAGTCTTTGGAAAGGTCACTGCTGCTGTCACCATCATCGGTGGCAGTATTGTCGACTGATTTTATTAGAAGTGAAAGTAGTAAATTGTTATCTCCAATTATGGTGTTGAGTTTGGCGACGGATGTAGTTTTGAGAAGTCTTTCGTCTGCGACTCATCCTTCAAGTATCCAGAGCATATTAACAACCTCCCCGTTTACTGGTTAGTCTTTTTGTTTGTTTGGTTATTTTTGTTTTTTACTTTCGGAGGAATGAATTTTTGTTAGCAGTGATTTTATATACGTTTTAAGTGTTGTCATTCAGTTATAATGTGAAATGTGTATTGAATCTTGTAAATAATCCAACATTTTAACTTGCTCCATGCAGGCATAGATCCTGAATTCTTCATCCCATCATATTTTATATTAAATTTGGGTCGATATCTTCTGTAATTTGGTTTAGTTGTAGATGTTGATGTATGCCTGAGGAATCCATGTGACGAGAATGCTATGTGTAGAAACGGCAAGGGATCTTACTCTTGTTCCTGCAAGGAGGGATTTACAGGGAACGGGTTGTCTTGTCAAGGTAATTGTTGATCAGGTCTCCTGTAGGATAGATTTTATATTGGTATAGGTGTTGTTATTCATAGTAGACGTGAAATGTTTGTTAAATCTTATAAATAACCCAACAGTTTAGTTTGTTCCATGCAGCCATGGATCGTGAAATCTTACAGCACATCATGTTTTATATTACTTTCGGGTCGATATCTTCGGTAATTTGGTTTATCTTTAGATGTCGATGAATGCTTGAACAATCCATGTGACAAGAATGCTATATGTACAAACACCAAGGGATCTTACTCTTGTTCCTGCAAGGAAGGATTTACAGGGAATGGAAAGTCTTGTCAAGGTAACTTTTGTTTAGGTTTCCATCAGTTTCCTTTTCAGGTTTTGCTATGTTTTGTAGACACAAGGATGTTTGCTAAGAAATGAACTTATCGGGGTGAATATGAGATGAAAAATGAATATGCATTTTTGTCTTAGAAATAAACGAGTGCGCTCCCTCACCGTGTCGGCAAGATCAGGTTTGTGACGACTTCGTTGGATATTATAAGTGCAGATGCCGACCGGGACTATCTCAAAAAGAAAACAGTGGCATCTGCGAAGGTAAGTATTAAAACAGTAAATACCATTTTAAAGGTAAAGGGGAAAGGTCGAAGCTATTGTGGGCTAATGATTAAAACCCAGAGGCAATTGGTTGAAATTAGCCGGTGAGGTATACTACATGATATATTCGTATTCTTCTAGATAGTAGTTAAGGGGGATCCTACAGTAGGGCTCCGCTGTTTGTCTATGGATAATTAAGGAAGGGCTACAAGACCTGTATCATTTTGAGTTATTACGTTGATAGGTTACGGTCATCATAGCGATTGTAGTTAAATATGTTTGTTTGTGAAAATAAAGGAATCTTACATCTTCATAGGATACCCATATGATGCTAAGTTGAATCTCTTTTTTACATAGCTGCTGAGACATATGGAGGACTATTGAAAATAACTGGTGGCAACTTCTCAACATTTACACCGGCTTTGGAGGATAGCACCTCCCCTGAATATAACGAGCTGGAATTCGAAATAATATCTGCGGTAAGAACCTGTGTTTAGGTGCATTAGTCCCGGATGGGTGGTTTCCTTACAGTGCACGGCTTGGTTTGCATGCGGCTATGATTACCTAATGTGTCAATTTATAAGTTATTTTTGACGAGTTGCTGCACACGCAGTGATTTTTGTTACAAACCATCTTATTAGCAGAATCGAGAAGTTCTAAACAATTTATTCCATGATCTAACCAGTGATGTGTAAGAGTGACTGCAACAAACTAAAGAGCTAACCATTCTATAATTACGCAATTTACTAAAGTCTGTTTCAAGGGGTTGCCCTTCCTCTGATGCTAAGAGTCCCGTGGGTTTGACCTTAGTCGATGCTTTCATTTACCTTGTCACGCAGGTGAACGAAACTTACAGGAACTCGGAACTTGCATCAACCTACCGAGGGTGTGAAGTTCTTGGATTTAGGTATGAACGAGGGGTCGTAAGTTATAGTCAAATTTAGCTGGCAAATAACCCTACTCGCCTTATGGAAGATCTAAAACTCCAATTATAAACTACGAACAACGTGCTTGTCTTACTGGATGAAAAAGAGAAGGAAGAGGATTGTTTTTTGAACGTTGAAGGACGTTGAAGTTCAGGTTTTTTTTGGTTGAGATCCTCCTTTTTAGTTAAAAAAAAGTTCTTCTATCGAATTAGCATGTAAAGACGTTGATGATTGTGACTATAAATCACATTCCACGACAAAGAATATCACTATCATCGAAAACCTTTAAACTTAGTGGTAGATTTTCATCGTTTGTTTTATAATGAGGGTTTTGTTCTGAGTCCTTTTAAACTTCTTCTTTAGAAATGGCAGCGTGATAGCTGATCTTCTTATACACTTTGAGCCAACTGAAAATAACACCGTGCTTTCCACGGCTAGAAGGATTTTAACAGAAAGTGTCGACAACACAGGGAATACTTCCAGCTTTAGGACGTTGAGACCTGACACTGTTATTGTAAGGGGTAAGCTTCTAAACAAGCTTTGAGTAAATCAGTTTAGTATACACTAAAACAGTGGATAGCGTTGAAGGCGCGCTCTGATTGGCTAGTCAAACTCCGAATATCCTTTGCTATTTATCTCCGAGCAACTCGGGAAAAATGGCGTCCCGGTTTGCATCC